GCGGTAATATGCACCCTCCATCGAGATCTCCCTATCACCTCCAGCCTATCTTGCCCAGTCCGACGGCGCCCAACGAGTAGGCAGTAGAGGTTGTAAATCAGGATTAATGGCGTCTTGAAGGTGAGGTCAAAGATGGCGATAGGAGATACGACTTGGGTCATCATAGCGACGTCTCTCTGCTGCATAGACCCCCTGGGCTACAGAGTCATTGGCTGACACCGCGATTAGTGTTCACTAATCATTAAGATATCGATTGTGCTTTCGATGATCGATGGTCAAAGGATGTTCATCGGTGTTGCCAGGAGGGAGACAGCCTGGTCGACTGACAGGCGAAAGTGTCCAACGAGTTGCATAAACCTCTTCGTACAAAAAAATCATTTTGAAAATGTTGCCCCTCGTACAAGTTGTGGAAGGCAATTTATCCGAATAAATTCTTAAATGTCAGTAACGTTACTGCAAAATATTATCAACAATTTAATGTTTTACGCGGCGAATAAAAATTATTTCTGTTGCCTGAACTTGGCCAGCTCCCGAAACATAACTATCATATCCACTTTCGGTGGAAATTGCCCGTCTTATTGCATACATTATTCGGCAGCATCAACTTGCTCGCTGACATGGTACGCGCCCTAGGCATATCATGCCTAATTAGTTCACACCTTGTGAAAGTCCCCATGTCTACCGAAGTCATGTTCATCTTTAGCATGTCATGTTGAGACTTGAATATTACACCATGCAGACCAGGGCGGGAGCAAACGTCATTTCAGCTTTACAGACTGTCGTTAGTTAGGTCCACGTCAGCCACAGACGGGATATCATTTTAACATGCTGAATACTCGTTGCTATGTGACAGATTGCGAGACTTATCAGTCTGGATTGCAAGACAGAACAAGAAAGTCCATTTTCTAGTATGTACTTTGAAGTAATGCACAGACGCACGTATCGGTTGGTGTGTAGTACCCCGCTTCAGGAAAAACGTTTCTGATCAGAACCCCGTTTAAAAAAGGCGCGCTTGCAGATTTCGAATAAAACAACAAAAGAACGCAGGAATTCGGAGCTGTTTGAACAGATATTTCCGAGGTTGAAAGTTGTTTCTACATGTGAAAAGAAACACAGTTCAGGCAGCATAACTACCAGAAATTTTGGAATTCACCAACCGATAAAAGTATTTGCGAAGACCGGATTGTCGTATGTTTTCAGACACGGATCCTTCTAGTGGGAGGAGTACGCCGCAAAAAGGGAAAACTTTCTTGATCCTTTATGCAAATTGCTCAACTGTTCACGGATGGAAAACCACACTATCCACGCCGCTGGTTACTTTATTTTTGACGGTGGTTGTTTTAGCGGTTGAAATGGTGTCAACTCAAAATGAGCGTGCAACAGTGTGTCTCTTCCGTCACTTGAAAATGTGTTCTTATAACACAAGTCGGTAAAAGCTTAGTTGATCACCCACTAGTCCTGCGGTTACTTTTAATTTTAGTTCAGTTTAATTTAGTGTGAAGGTTATCTAGTTTATTCTATTTAATTTGAGTTAAGTTAAGTTAGTTAATTTTTTAGTTTAGTTGGATACCACCGTGGTAAGATAAATATACTTAAATAGCTGCTTTATACTGAAGTAAGCTAACCAAACTATGCAAACGTAAATAAATTAAGCTAATTCCATGTGTCCCGTAGGACAGAATTCCAGGGCTAGGGTATCTAACGTGGGCAACCAACTTAACTTTTTCAGAGTTCATCAATTTCGGTTTAAATCCTCTCGTACCTCTCTTTTTACCTTACACAACTTTCAATGCAACGCAAAAACACTCGACGAGAGATGACGGTCCGTACCAAGCTGGAGGTTCACTATAAAGCACTTTATAAAAATCATTAACGCCTCCAGAAGACGTTGTCCGTAACCGCTGACCCGTAACCTTGTGAAAAGTTGTCAATATCAACTTTCCGTTGGAAGGCGACCGCTGTCTTGAAAATAAGACCCAAATTTCGACTGAGTAGAACTCGCTTCGGTGTGGTTTACCAACGGCGATGGCGCCTTGCATGTGAATTAATGGTTTGTGATGGGAGACGTACACAGTATCTACCACACTCTTTTTCCTCATCCAGTTTCGTGGCCAAAGAATGAAACGGAATCAACTCTGGATGGTTGGTGTGGCATGAGATTGCGCCTAGGCGTGTCACCAAACGCTCATCCGCATGTGTGGCCTTTATTATGCATGCACATCTACAGTAACATCTGAGCTGGATCCGTGTTTGTCCAGCGCAGTTACAGCGTCCTGACTAAGTACCTTCTTTCCCCTTCTTTCTCTTTGTAGGAACCTCGTTGACGGCGGCTGGTGTCCAGCTGGCAAAGTGGGCAGGGACTTCTCAGAGTACATCCAGATTGACATGGGCACCCTAAATGTGATCGTGAAAATCGCTTTTGGCGGACGCTCAGGTGTCGGGGTAAGTCGTCGAATGTGTGGATAGCAGAATAGAATCCACTGGAGTAATTTTGATGCCTTTTTAAATTATAAAGTTACAATGCGATAAAAAGATCGGCTCTGGCATTCGAATTGGCTGCACCTTCTTCAGAGAGCCCGGGATTGCCACTGATTCTGACATGTTATTGCAAACTGTAGTTCACATGGCATCCAAACAAACTAGTAGACACTCATTTCTGACTTTCTTTGATAAATCGACAGATGTGCGTTTTTTGCTTTTCCAAAGTCTATTTGATGATTTTAGCATAAGTTTAAATTGTCACAAATCTTTTGCTGGACCAATCAAAACTAAATTTTAGACGTGCCCAAATCGCGCAAGTACTCCGCTAACCTCACTCAAGTTAACTTTCCCACGATTATCATCAAAGTGGGTGCCGACAGGAGACCCCATCTCAAGACTTCAGGCTCCGTGCACGCGGTCACTCCCTAGGGACACCACGCTTCACTGAGACGATTTCCAGTGCGCACGGGAGCACACATACACACACTTGAGATATCTTGCCTACGCGTGAGTCGGGGCCGACGGGTTCATTAATTATGCGTTGAATGAGACCTCCTTGCCCTGTGTACGCTTCATTGGCCATCAGGCAAAATCGCACTCAGCGTTCTTCGCTACCTTCGGTAGCCAGTATCCTCCCCCGCTCCACCCTGGATGTTTGCTAACACTCAACTTCCGAAAACATAAAGCGATATCCCCAAATATTTCGCACACAGAGGCGATCTTATCCGAGCGGAATGGTCTATCCCGATATCTGCGTGATAGCCGTAATGGCAGGCTTATAATCGATTCGCAGGTTGTTTTTTCTCACTCATGCCGAACAAGTATGCGTCCATCTACGTGCTCTATTCCGTCTGATCTATGGGTAAAAGTAAACGTCCGCATAGATGAAAGTGAGCTGCACGTACGGCCGATTATTAAAGTTCGGAAAGAACAAAGTCTGAGCTCATGGATTACTGGCGGAACTTTGAGTGCAAGTACTAACGTTATCCGAGTATAAATACATGTCTCTATAGTGATTTGATTTGCAGTGTAGTTGACGGACGACGAAACAGAAGTGGACTTTGAAGTCCCCCACGCCTGTTTCGGTTACTAAAATATCATTATCTTTTGCCAAGCATGCATATAGGTGAACGCTCATCAATGAAGGTCAATATCTCCCGATCTAAACCAGCTCGTGGCTCAATATTTAGAGCATTAAATGCGGCTTTTGAATTTGAGCCACCCATTTTTTTGCTCTCCATTCACGTGGGAA